ATGAGGTGGTGCTGGGAGATAAACGAGGCTGTACCGTCAGGGACCGAGGTGGTACTCGGAGGCCAGGTGGGGCCGCATTATTAGATAAATGGGGTTGCGCGGCCCGGGGATGAAGTGTACTTGCAGGGGAGATGACGTCCCGCTGGATGCGCCAGGTTGCACCGTCGGAGAACACCGCACCGCCACGGGAGGAAGGAGCGCCTCCGCCGCGGAGGATAAATGAGGGTGTCCGGCTGGATAGATGAGGGGGCCCGTCAGGTGAATGGAGTGCTGTTAGCAAATGAGGTTGTACTTGCTGGATAAATGGGACTGGTGTGCTGGATAAATGGGGTGGCGCTGTCAGATGAATGCATTACTGCTCGTGGGCGAAGGGTGTCCCGGGAATAGATGAGGGTGTCCTGCGGGATGGATGAGCTGCCGCCACCAAATGGATCAGAACCTGCCCACCGGGGAGGCTCCATCAGCGAGGATGGGGGGGCTCCCCCGAGTGACCCATGCCCGGAAGCGGCGTCACCCACCGGAGCAAGCAAGCCCTTGCCCACTGCATTTCCTGCTGTTGCCGGGCCCTGGCCGACTCCCGGTGGCGAGCTCTGCTCATCTGCTCATCCCTTCTCTCTCCCTGCCCATCTGGGGAAGGCCCCATGTGCCATCCCCTCTCCGCAGTCTCACCCCCTAAATAAACCTCCAGGCCGGGCATTGACCAAACACTTAGGGGAGAGCAGAAAAAAGACAGAAATTCCTCATGAAATTTAGTCTCTAAAGGAAGCAGGCAATAAAAAAACTATACCCCAAATATAAACCAATAATGTATTGATTTCGGAGGCAGCCACTGCTTTAGAGAAATGTAGACAGAGCAGGTCACAGGGGCCAAGAAGAGGCAGGGAAAGGGGCAGCGGTGAAGAGTGGGTGCCCGGGGCAGGCCAGACGTGCCTTCTGAACAGAGCCTGCAAGGGCTGCAGCCCCCACCGCGTACACACTGGCCTCTCCACCCCTCAGGGACGAACCTGGCCGATTGGAGGCACTGGAAGGTGGGATCAGGGTTAGGGGGAGACTGAGGTCAGGGGGTCTTGCAGGATAGGGCTCCCTCTGTTCTTTTCCTGAGGATGAGGGGTGCCTGGGAGGGCTCTGGGTTGGGGGCCAGGACTGCCGTGTGAAAGGGGTCTTCTGGCTTCTGCCTGTTGCGGAAGAAGTTGGGGGCCAGTGGCCCGTGGAAGAAATGGACCCTCACTGCTTCCTACCCAGGGTTACTGTTCATGGGTGTTAGAACCCAAACCGGGACCCAGATCCAAAACCAGGACTTGTGGCTTTGGCTCAGCACCTGCCTCCCTCCCTGCTGACTCAGGCTCCTAAGATTGTGGGCCTGGGATGGAGCCCCGTGCCCTTCCCTCTGCCCCCTGATGGTCTCCCTGAGCCCCCAGGTCTGTGCTGGGTACCTGCACCAGGTCTGCATGTGGGTGTGGGAGGGGTAAGGCCCTGGGAGCCCCGGCCGGTGCTGGGCACCTGGGGAGCCCGGGCAAGCCAGGGCGCGGGCCGCGGCTGTGGTGGCGCGTTGCTAGGTGACTCGGTGAGGAAGCCCTGGTTACTGCTGCCTGGCAGAGGCGTCTCCTCTGCTGCCTCCCTCACCATCTCCGTGGCCTCTGGCCTCCCCGGAGGCCTTGTGGGTGAGTTGTGATCCGCGTACTCGCCACTGGATCTTGGCTCTGGTTGGTACCAGGTGGCAGGGCCTGAGGAGCCAGACTGGGCCGTGGGGCCTAAGTGTCCCGCAGAGGCCAAGGCCCTGGTGCAGAGTCGGACCCGCCAGTTCCAGAAGTCCACGCTCACCTCTGGGCCACCTTTCTGGGTGACCCTGGGCGAGGCCTGTATCCCTCAAGGCCCCAACTGCCCCATCTCTTGGGCCTACCTGTCCTGCCCCCCATCCTGGGTTTCCTCTTCTGTGACGTAAGAGCAGGTGCTGACCGTGCTCCAGGCACCCCGTGTCCAGCCCTGGGGCCTGAAGATGTATGTCAGAGCAAAACCTGTGAACGAGATGACCCCAAAGAGCTTCCGTGTCAAACTGGAAAGCTGCCCAGAATATGAGTGACCCATCTCATCAGCCTTCAGGGAGGGAAACTGAGGCCCAGGGAGGAGGGACTCAGTGTGGTAAGGCCGCCATGCTGCGGCGGGAGGGGAGCTTGGGCCCCAGGTCCTGGGCAGCCTCGGGCAAGTCGTTTTCTCTCCTGGATGGGACCAGCAGGGGTCTCGGGCTGGAGTGCCCAGCTGGGCAGGGATGTGAGGGGGAGAAGAAGAGCTTGGAGCTTGTGTAAGCAAGAACATTCGTATTGAGAAAATGCGGATGTGTTGAGAAAGACAACGCGAAATTCTCTCGAGTTCTTCCACGGAAGCCCAGAGCAGAGAGGATTTTGCCCTTGCCACAGGCCCCACTCACTGCCAGCTTCGCGGGATGGTTTACATGGAAAGTTGGAGCATGGGCGCCCTGAGATTCTTTGGAAGTTGTCAGCCTGTTTTTCTCCCGGGTGGAATGCAATGTCCTTTCCACTCCGAGTGAGACCGACCTGAACTCAACCCCTGGCTCTGCCACTTCCTCTGAGCAAGTAGGCACCACCCAAGCCCCCCCTGCCCACCCCCACCCCCCGCTCCCCTGCATGAGGCCGCACCACCCCAGCTCCAGGGGAGTTTGCTGGAGTCGTCCCTCGAGATAGAGTGCTTCTAACCCTCTAACTCTGCAAGGCTGCCCAGCAGGTGCAGAGTGGGTGCTGGTACTGGGCAGTGGCCCCCCCGGGCCTGACTGACCTCCAACTGCTGGAGCGGGAGGAACGGGCTTTGAGGCAGCTCCTCCCACAGGGGAGGAGCACCCCATCTCCCAGGCCGCTGCACACAGCTGCAGAGGAGGGGCTGGGGAGCCAGGTGCAGGGGCGGGAGCGGGATGGGGTGCCTGCTGGAGGGAGCATCGCTCCCTGGGGGGGTCCAGCTCCCATTCTCTCAGGGTCCCAGGAGAAGCCAGGCTGGCAAGACTGGGAGGGGTCTAAGGGCACCAGCTGTCATCTCAGTACAGAGAGTCCTCCCTCTTTCGTGTCCCCTGTCTCCCCCCACGCGCGCGCACGCACACACACACACACACACACACACACACACACACACACACTCCGGTCAGTGAGGAATCCTCAGGCCCTGAAAACTCAGGTCAGTAGCTGGAGGTAGAGATTCTGGGTGGGTGGCACCCTGGCACGGGAAGGAGGTGAGCCTAGAGGCAGCGGCTGCCTGCTGGGCAGGCAGGCCTGGCCTGGTCCCTGATACCTTGGGGACGGACTGCACACAGGTTACATCATGCCCCTGGGCCTTCGCTCCCTGGCCCAGAAGGTGTGTGATGCCAGCTTCCCAGAATTGCTGGGGCCCAGCATGGCTCCCCTTAGGGCAGGCTGCTCAGGCTGGGGAGACAGCAGGTCTGTAGGGGAGGGGGACAGGGGTGCTCTCTGGCCAGTGTGAGGGGCTGAAGCAACAGTTATGAGCCTCTTTTCTCACGCACATCCCCATACATTAGTTGGTTCCAAGGTGTGGCAGGGGCCGAAGTACAGGTAGGGCACTTGCCTTGCACGTGGCTGACCTGGGTTCAGGCCCCAGCATCCCCTGTAGTCTCTTTGCCTAGAGGCAGGAGTAACCTCTGAGCACTGCTGGGTGTGGCCCCAAAACCAAGACCAAAAAAATAAATTAAAAAGACCCAAGGGGGTGATGAGCATCACCCTGTTTTTTTTCCAGATGTTCACTGAGGTTCCCAGAGCTGGAGGCAGCGTCAAGGTCACAGGTCACAGAGCCATGAGGTGGGGGAAAAGCCCTGGCACCCTCTCAGCCTGCTGATGCCCAAGCCCAGGCTGTGCCCATAGGAAGTCTAAGCGGCTCGGTGGGAGCCCCCAGAGGCGGGTGCAGAGGTGCTCCGGTTCTGCTCCTGCGAGAGTCAGGCCAGCTGAGCTGCCAGCCTCCCTGCCCTCTTGTGTGCCTGGGAGAAGACTGGCAGAAGCAGGCAGCGACCAGAGGGGTGCCTGTGAGGCTGGCACGGCAGAAGCTTAAACAAGAACATTTTGTACAGGTGGCATCGGGGATGCCCGGGGTGGGACCTGGGGTGGGGGGAAAAAAAAAAACCTCTGGAACTTACACAAGTCACTTTACCGCTCTGAACATCTGCTTGCCTGCAAGTGGGCATGGTGTCACCTGCTTTGGGGCAACGTGTGACCTTCCACCAGGAAGGACCTCGGAGGGCAGAGCTCCTCACTTTAGCGGGTGTCCTGTGGGCAGGATACTGCTCTGAAGGTGGGCACCCGAGCTAAGGTCAAAGGCTCTCTGTGGCTGGCCTCCGAATCCCCTGGAGGCTTGGGGGGGAATCACCGACAAGCTTAGTGATTAGACCCCTCTTGGGGGGACTTCCCCCCTCCCCCAAACCTGTTCTGCTCTCCCTGGCCAGGCCCTCCCAGCAAAGGGTTAACAGTCTTCTCTACCTGCAGTTGCATTTTAAAGACACGAAATTAAAGCAGGTAATTTATTCTCCCCACACACGAAAGAGCAATTAGTTCTAAACAGGGCTTAATCAGTCACCGCGAGATTGATTTCTGGAGCCCTGGGTTTTCGGGCTGCTGGCGCCACGCCAGGCTGGGGAGGGAGGGGGCGGACAAATGAGCCGCGTCGGCATGAGCCCTTACATAATCTGTTGGGGGTGCCTGGCAGCCTGGCTAGCCCTGGCTAAGTTGGGGAGAGGGGCTCTGCGCCCCTGGCCCCGCTGCCGTTAGACGCGCTCAGGGCTCAGGGCTGGCCAGCCGAGGGTCCAGCCCACCCTGGGGCAGTGCTGGTGAGGTGCAGGGGTGGAGGGACGGTATCCGGGCTCTGTCGACCTGGTACTCACATGTGCTTCCCCCCTACCCTTCCTCCTTCCTCTTCCTCCCCTCTCCTCCCGTTTCTCGCCCCTCACTCCCCTCCCTGTTGCTCCCCACCCATGTCCCTGTCCCCGGCCACAGAACTCCATCCGGCACAATCTGTCGCTGCACACGCGCTTCATCCGCGTGCAGAACGAGGGCACGGGCAAGAGCTCCTGGTGGATGCTGAACCCCGAGGGCGGCAAGACCGGCAAGACCCCGCGGCGCCGGGCCGTGTCCATGGACAACGGGACCAAGTTCCTGCGCATCAAGGGCAAGGCCAGCAAGAAGAAGCAGCTGCAGGCCCCCGAGCGGAGCCCCGACGACAGCCCCCCGGGGGCGCCCGTCCCGGGGCCGCTGCCCGGCGCCAAGTGGGCCACCAGCCCCGCGTCGCACGCCAGCGACGACTACGAGGCGTGGGCCGACTTCCGCGGCGCGGGGAGGCCCCTGCTTGGGGAGGCGGCCGAGCTGGAGGACGACGAGGCCCTGGAGGCCCTGGCGCCCTCGTCTCCGCTCATGTACCCGAGCCCGGCGGCGAGCGCGCTGTCCCCGGCGCTGGGGGCGCGCTGTCCCGGGGAGCTGCCCCGCCTGGCCGAGCTGGGGGGCCCGCTGGGCCTGCACGGCGGCGGGGGCGGCGGCGGCGGCGCGGGCGGCGGCGCGGGGCTGCCCGAGGCCCTGCTGGACGGCGCGCAGGACGCGTACGGGCCGCCGCGGGCGCGCGCGGGGACGCCCGCCTACTTCGGGGGCTGCAAGGCCGGCGCCTACGGCGGGGCGGGGGGCTTCGGGCCGCCCGCGCTGGGGGCGCTGCGCCGCCTGCCCATGCAGACCATCCAGGAGAACAAGCAGGCCAGCTTCGCGCCCCCCGCCGCGCCCTTCCGGCCCGGGGCGCTGCCCGCGCTGCTGCCCCCGCCGCCGCCCGCGCCCCGGCCCGGCCCGGTGCTGGGCGCGCCCGGGGAGCTGGCGCTGGCGGGCGCGGCCGCCGCCGCCTACCCGGGCAAGGGGGCGGCCCCCTACGCGCCGCCGGTGCCCTCGCGCAGTGCCTTAGCCCACCCCATCAGCCTTATGACGCTGCCCGGAGAGGCGGGCGCGGCGGGCCTGGCGCCGCCGGGCCACGCCGCCGCCTTCGGGGGCCCGCCCGGGGGCCTCCTGCTGGACACGCTGCCCGGGCCCTACGCGGCGGCCGCCGCCGGGCCGCTGGGCGCCGCGCCCGACCGCTTCCCGGCCGACCTGGACCTCGACATGTTCAGCGGGAGCCTCGAGTGCGACGTCGAGTCCATCATCCTCAACGACTTCATGGACAGCGACGAGATGGACTTCAACTTCGACTCGGCCCTGCCGCCGCCGCCGCCGGGCCTGGCCGGGGCCCCGCCCCCGAACCAGAGCTGGGTGCCCGGCTGATCAGGGCCGCGCGCCGCGCGCCCCGGGGCCCCTGGCGCGCCCCCGGGGGCCGCTGTCTTCCCGTCCTGATCCCCCGGCCCCCGCCGCACCCCTGACCCCGACGGACGGACGGACGGGCAGGGAGGGGCTGGGCCGCCCCACCTTTCCCGCCGCCCCTGCCCTCCCCAGGCCAAACCCCAGCCTGAGAGTGGGGGGCGGAGGAGCCAGGTGGGAGGCAGGGCGGGGCGTCTCCAAACCCCAACTTCCGCAGGACCCTCGCCTGGACGCACCGTCCCCCGCTCCCAAACTCCCAAACTCCGATCCCGTCCCCAGGTGACACCTTCCCGGCTGGAACAGGGTCGTCCCGCGTCTCACGCCCACCTCGGGGGGGCCGGGCGGCCCAGCCAGCCCCCCTCCTCCCGCCCCTTCTTCCCTCCTCGCCGGCGCAGGCTTCTCCCCTCCCTCCACCGAGTCGGTCTCCCCGGCGTGGCCCACGCCCAGTCCCGGCCTCCCGGCTGCAGAGCCCCCTCCCCCTCCCCCGCCCGGACGCAGCCCCCTCCCCCCGCGCCGGTCCTGGCTCCTCCCTCCCGTATTTATAAGTGTCCCGTCGGGGCGGGCTGAGGGCGCGGCGCCCCCAGCGCATATCGTAGGCAGTGTACCGTGGCCGTGCCGTCCGCGTGTGCGTGTGCGTGTGTGTGCCGTGTAGAGTGCATTGTACAGCATATTTTCATGAATAAAATTGTTTTAAATATTTCCCGCGCCTTGGGCTGCCGGGAGGAGGGGGCGGGGCCCCCTTGCCGCAGCCCCGGTGGGTCGGTCGTGGCTTTGTGTGCCTGGGCCCTCTTTGGCCTGCCTGCCTTGGGGACGGTGGGTGGTCCGTTGGCACGCACGGGGCCAGCGCCCAGAGAGATGCGGACGCTGGGAGCTCTGTTTCTGAGGACTTGTGCGGGGAGCGTCTGGATGCGGGTGTTGGATCGTCCTGAGTGAGCCTGGGCATCGAGAGAAGGGATTGATTTACTGAGATCCCATGAGTGCCAGGCCCTGCCTGAGATTGGGGGGGGGGTTGGCTTTTTGGGTCACACCTGGCAATGCTCAGCGGTTACACCTGGCTCTGCACTCAGGAATCACTTCTGGCCATGCCATAAGCCATAGCCTAGCCATCTACCTGAACCCTGCCCCTGCAGTGGGCAGCGCGGGTGGTCACATCTCTCTCCGAATCCTTCCCTGCTTGCGTGGGCTGGATCTGTAGTAGAACCCCCAGTCTGCGGATTTCCCAGGAGGCTTGTGTGTTGCGGGGGGGAAGTAGGCAAAAGACTCAGCTGGCCATTCCCTTCATGCCCGGAGTCCTGTGGGCACCTGTTTTAGCGCAGTTTTCTGCCCTCCAGAAATTTAGAAGGGGCTAAAGGTAAGTTACGGAGCATCATAGAGCAGAAACCTTGATGAACGAAGGCTGCGATGAGGGTGAAAGGCACAACTCTACCCAGCCCAGCCCAAAGCAGTCAGGGAACCTGCCTGGAGGTGGTACTCTCCCTGCTGAAAGTTAAAGAATGAGTCGGCATTGGAAGAGGAGGAGTGCAGACAGGCAAAGGTGTATTCGGAGACACCCCCGTCAAGAGATGATGCGGGTTCCAGAATGCGGAGGAGCTGAGAGTGACGCAAGTTCAGAGATGGAAAGATGACTGACTTGGAATGGGTCAGGGGTGGCCGTCGAAGTGGGCAGTGACCAGACCAGAGAGGTTGGTGGAGACTCCGTGGGGCCTCGGAGAGGTGCTGGCAGTAGGACTGGACACCAGGGCTGTCGCTTGGAACTTGCCTGAGAATGAGGGAAGTGAAGTGATGCCTGGAGTCCGCATGGCACCTCCGCATTCCCTCGAGGGGGCACCTGGGCAGGCTCATCCCAAGTTAGGTTCTAAGGGACTCTGGGAGGGACATTCAGGAGTGAGTGGGAGCCCCTGACATGGGCGTGTGGGGGCCGAAGTGTCCATGGGGAATGTGAAGTCATGAGTTGGAGAGAGGCAGCAGAAAAGGACTTGCACAGAGGGGCATGTTGTGGGGGGCTTGGCTAGGCTGAGAAGGAAACAGGAGACCCCCAAGTCTGCTCTAAGGAACACGTGGAGACCCCTTGGCGCCAGCAGGAGAACCCCTGAGCTCATCAGGACCAGCTAGAGGCTAAGGAGGAGGCCAACTCCAGCCCTGGGGGCTCCCCGGGGGTGTGAAAAATCTTGGGCTTAAGAAGAAAGCCCCCTCCCTCCCCAGACTCTGCCTCAGCTGGAAGATGGGGCAGTAGCATCTGGTCGGTTCATTCTGAGGAGGGAGGCTGGAGTTCTCTGAGGTCCCACTGTTGGCAGAGAGGCAGACTTGGGGTTCCTGCCAGGACTGTGTCCTTTCTACACCCAGGCTGTCCTGTGGCCCCCATGGCCTCTGGGGAGGTGACTTGGAGCAAGAAGAGTGGGGCAGCCTGGAACCAGCCGGGGAGGACCGCCCTGGGTGTGTGAGTGGGTGCAGGGTTGGGGGGAGGTTCTCAGCCCCACCCCACAGCCAGGCTCCTGGACAGCCCCGCTGAGTCTGGGCTCCAGATGGGCTGCAAAGCTGCCCCCACCGACCAGGCTGAGGGAGGGTGGGTTGCTGGGGTGCGTGTGCAGGTCTGTGTGTGTCCGTGGTGCTCCATATGCCTCCGTGTGTGGGCCCATGCGGGGCGGGGGGGTGGTTGACAGTGGCCCCATCTCCGAGGGCGCCCACATGTGCGCTGGGCCTGTGGCATCTGTCCCTGTGCACGCTGTGCGCTCTTGTCCCCCCTCCCTGGGCGTGTCTGCCCGTCTTGGCCGGGTGCAGCAGAGCGGGGTGTGCCCCTGCCAGGAGCGGCTTCTGCTGTGGGAAGGAGGGGCGGGCAGCGGGGACACTCCCAGCCCTGGGCTCTGGCCAGGCTCTGGAGCAGGAGCAGGAGACCACCTCCGAGTAATGGCTGCCCTGTGCCTGGCATGGCCACCACTCGCTCCAGAGCCCGCGTCTGTCCTGCTGGGCCCCAGCCCGAGAGAGGGGGCGACACCCTGCAGCCGGGGGGGTCTGTAACTGGCCCTTCCCCGCCAGCCTTGGAGCCCAGCAGACGGGCCCCCCTCCATGCCCACTCCCTGGGAGGCGTCTGACACATGATTTATTCATAAAAAGCCATTATTTGTGCCAAAGAAGAAGGAGCTGCTCGCTTTTTAAGTGCCGGTAATGCTCTCAGCCTCGGTGCCTCTCCTCCTCTCCCTCCCCTGGCAGCTCCTCTCTCTCCTCTCACCTCCTCGGGACTTCCCCTCCTTCCTCCTCCCCTCCCCCTCCTCTCTCTCTCATTGTTCCTGTACCTCCTCTTCTCCCATTTCTCCCTTCTCCCCTCCCCCCCTCCCTACTTCCGCTCTACAATTAGGGGAGTGAGGTCAGGTCACGGGAGGGTGGCTCAGAGCCCTTGGTGCCAGATGGGGGAAGGCCACCCCCTCCCTCCAGGACCGGGGGAGGGCATGGAGGAGGGGGAGCAGGGTGGGAAGTCCTCAACGGCTGCTATAAGCAGTTCTCCTTACACTAACGGCAGTGAGTGACTATTTTGGGGTGCCGGGGATCCCACCCGGGGCCTCGCACATGCAGGGCAAATGCTCTAGCTCTTAGCTACATCCTTGTCCCTAAAGGGAGTGACCCTCTCATTCTCCCGCACTGGAGTCCCAAATAAACATGCCCTTGCTCACAAGGCAGGTTCCAGGGACCACCCCACCCCCACCCCAAGCTGCGTCCGGACTCAAGCATACCTCTCCAATGTTCCTAGATAGAATTTCTGGAGCCACTGTCACACATGAGGGGCCCGGGGCCCCTCACAGAGCACCCCATTTCCAGACAGGACACAGCATACATGGCCACAAGCACACACACACGAGGACCTGAGCAGCAAAGCGCAGTCACACATGTGCATCCCCGAGCTCACGCATGTGCAGGCCCCACGCACACACCCACAGGCACGCACACGGCAGCCGCGCACCTCCCGCGCAGATGGAGCGTCCTCCCCCCTCCCCCCCCATGAGCACCTGCAGAGGGTCTGAGGCCCTTCCCCATCCAGACACCTGTTCGTTCATTCATTCACTCACTCCAGAAACTGCCTCGTGCCAGGCGCTGGGATAGCAGAAACGCGCATGAGGGGGCTGTAGGGAGGGGGCGCCGCACAGAGCCCGGTCTGCCGGCCCTCCCCGGCAGCCCCGGGCTGGGGGTGAGGTGTCCAGCAGGCAAGGGGTTAAGTCATTTGGCATCCAGAGCTGGAGCCATTAGGCCTCCTAATTATGAAATTATCGAGGTCCTCAGGTGACTGCTAATTTCACACACACTGTTCCTCTCCCGGCTAATGAACGCCCGCAGAACCCACGCCTTGTCTTTCCCGCTGAACGGTGACCTGCAGCTAATGAGCTCAGGAAGGCAGACAGGCCTCCGGCTGGGTGGGTGGGGGGCCAGGCCTGAGCAGGGGGCACCTTGCTCCCACTGCCCTCCGGGCTCCCTGGTTGGCTGCCAGGCCCTGGTGAGGACCCTGGGGGCCCCAACCCAGCCTGGAATTTTTTGCCTTTTTTTTGCTGTGGATAGTTTTTTAGTTGGGGATAATACCCAGGGGTGTTCGGGAAGGGGAGGGGGGCTACTCCCAACAGGGTCCGAGAGGGTCACTCCTGATGGTGTTCAGGGACCAAGTGGTGCTAGGCCAGGATGGGGGTGGTAGGGTGGGGGTGGGGTTGAGCCCAGGTCCCCTGGTTGCAAAGCACTCAGCCTTCTGAACTGTCTCTCTCTGGGCCCCAGGAGATGCCCCCCTGCAGGACAGAGACGGGGAGGGGCATCGGGGCATCAGGATGGCATGCAGATTTGGGCAGGTCTTCAGGGCACGTGATCCCAGAAAGAGCAAGCAAGTGGGAGGAGAAATGAGGCACAGATGCAGGAAAACCGTTCCCACTTGATTCTGGGGTTTTGTCAGCTCATTCTTAAGGGCTGAGGGCAAAACAGCTCCCCGTTCCCTTGATTTTGGGACCACACCTGGTGGTGCTCTGTGCTTAGGGATCACCCCTGGCAGGGATAGGGAAACCATACGGGGTACTAGGGATTGAACTTAGGTCAGTCTCATCCAAGGCAAGAGCTCCACCCACTGTCCTATGGCTTCGGCCCCCACAACGTCCCGTATTAAGGGGTAGCAGAGATGGGATGACCGGGGGTGGGGGGTGGGAGGGACTGGTTAAGGACAGGGGGCAAAGTCTCAGTGCTGTTGTCGCAGATCATTTTGAAGTTTTAATTTTTGAGAAATGAGCACAGGAGGTGCTTGCCTAGCAGTCAGCTGACCTGGGTTTGATCTGCAGCACCACAAGAGGGATGGCTGAGCACAGTGGCCCAGAGTAGGCAGCTCTGAGCACCACAGGGTGTGGGACCTACACCTCACCCCCTCCCAATGTCAAAAGAAACAGAAAACCACCCTGTAAAATAGGAAGGAAAAGAGGCTGGAGCAATAGCACAGTGGGTAGGCCGTTTGCACGCGGACGACCCAGGTTCGATTCCCAGCATCCCATATGGTCCCCTGAGCACCGCCAGGGGTAATTCCAGAGCACAGAGTCAGGAGTAACCCCTGTGCATCGCTGGGTGTGACCCAAAAATAACCAAAAAAAAGGAAGGAAAAGATCATACACAGTGAGTATGACTGTAGATGGGGCGGTGCAGGGATTGAGGGTTAGAGGAAATGACCCCCCAAAAGAGGCATCATGGGG